AATGCCTGGTACAATAACAACAACACGTTCTTTTCCTTAACCTACATCTTCAAAAATACATATCGATACTACAGTCATGGCATTACACCACAGCAAAGCACTGGAACTCACTTCCTTATGATATCCATGCTGTGGCTGGCTCAAAAGAGTTTTTGAGGCAAATTTGGAATTTTAACAGTGAGTAAATCGGTTCATAGTTTAATACAGTGATATTGTTGGTGTGTCTGTCCATCATTGTGATCTCCAAGACTTCAGATGAACACCCAGAGAGACTGGATAAAGTCCTGACATGCATCAAAGAACAGTCTGAATCTGAAGCCTTCCAAGCATTGCTTCCTGAGAGAGAGGGAGTCACCTACATTGGATGTCCCCTTTGGCCATTGGTGTGTTTCCAGACATTGACAAGATAGTGACGGCAGAGGATTGGCAAGTACCAAACCATGTGAAAGCTTCTTTTCGGCATGAATTGAAAACAAACAAGCACCTTGATGTTCCATTTGCCGACAGGTGGAACACAGTATGCCAATCTACCCTATGGCAATGCAGAGTTACCCCAGTGAACTTGAAATCTACAGCAGAGTTCTCCGTAAGCTCCGGTGACCGGCAAAATTCGCTGTCTAGTCGTCCTTGGTGCGCCGGCTACCTATAGTAAATAAATTATGAAAAAAAAATTTATTCGTAACAATGTGAGCCTATCCGTCAATAAAATCAAGCATAAAAACAATATGTCTAATTCTCTCAACAAATACGTAGCGATTAGAAAATACAACTTTTATAGCTGTAAGATAAAAGAAATCTGAAATCATTCGGGCCGTGAGAATTGCCACCAAAAACGTGACGTGGGCACTGAGCCGTAACAGCAGCACTGAAATATTTGACAGCCGAGGTTAAGTTGAAGCTCAGTTTTTCCTCTAAAAATGAAGCGAAAAAACCCAGCAATCACTGTTCAGTACCAGGGATAAATTGAAAAGAAAATAAAGATGGCACAAACGAAGGTCATAAGTTGTTTTCTTTCAAAAATACAATTAAAATTAGTTCTTTTATCTCCACTCAATGTACGTGTAATTTAATTAGGGACTTTCATACCGGGAAGCCTGGGTACTAGTCTCGCGGTTTGTAGGGACAACAACAAAGATGGCGGCAGTGTGACAAGAAAGAATGGGGAAGTGGCTCTGTTGTTCAGCGTTCTGTACCAACAATTTACCAACGCGAAATCCTCAAGGGGAATCGACCAAGTTTTATCGTTTGTCCCGTGACCCTGAGGTTCAAGCTGCCTACACCAGGATTCTTCAAACGACGGGTATAACCTGGCATTCTNCAGGTTCTCAGATAAGTTGATCAAAATAATAATTAACTAGGCTCCCTTCACAAACGAAAATGGTTTCACGAAGTATTTTTGCGTATAAGTCTCGTTTCCCGAACGAGTCTGGTTTTCTTAACGAGTCTCGTTTTAACGAGTCTCTGCCGAACAAGTCCCGTTTTAAATCTCGTTATTCCGAACTTATTCCGAACGAGTCTCATTATTCCAAACGAGTCTCGTTTTTCTTTTTCGAACGTGTCTCGTTTTCCTAATGTGTCTCGTTTTCAACGAGACTTTCAAAACGAGACTCGTTTGGAAAAAGACTCGTTATTCGAAACGAGTCTCGTTTTTCCGAATGTTTCCCAAACGTGTCTTGTTTTCTGAGCGAGTCACGTCTTCATGGCATATCGAGTACCCATTATATCGAGACGATTTTTGTCGAGTCCTATTAGCCTGGTTTACCAGAAACCATGAGAGATCCTTCCTTTCACGCTGTCAGACGAAACATGTACAGATTTACCGAAGTTCTCTTTGCAGTGGTTAATACAATTTTTTACGATTGTTTACATTCAATTTTATTGATGAAAACAACGGTTTTACGATTCAAAAGCGAGTTCAAAGGACACACACACTTATACAAATTCACTGCGTTACGGACTAATAATAATCGGGAAACTATTGACACTTTACTCATCGATTACTCAAGCACTTTCACCAACGTCTTGATTTGAGAATAAAAACAATGTTTCCATTCAGTTGTTTCATTTGCGATGATAGTATTGGGTCTTGCGAAGCAAGTTTTCACGTAAGAGCTGTTGTTCATACTTACGTAAAGTCAACATGCTGCAATGAAATGATTAAAGCGACCATCGAACTACAGTTTTGGCGAACGTCTTTGACCTTCGTTTTTCATCACTTTCATTTAAGTTTTTCGCTTGTAAGTTAAAGTTGGCTCCCTTGAAGCGGCATGTAAAACAAGAGCCCACAAAACCAAATGCTCTCACGGGGCAAACTTCACCGCTTTGCGAGAAATTAATCGTTTTCTTGCAAGCTAACGGTTTGTAATTTATTCCAAAATATACGCTTCAGTGGTTGTTGCGAGACGAGACTCTCGTTTCCTGAGACGAGACTCTCGTCTCGCGAGAAACGAGACGAGAGGTGGTAACTTACTTTTGAGCGGTACTGTAATGTGACCCACCAGATCTTATTTCTGGGATAAATAATCAAAATTATTGATGTTTGAAATCCCTGTCCTGTTAAGTCTTATAATACCTCCAGCCTGAAAAAAGTGCACCTTTGGTCAACTGTAGGAAGAAGTCCCCCAGCTTGGTGCAATATGATAATAAGGATACTACATATTATAGTGCATGCAAGTAAAATAACAATAATTTTTTTCTTGGAAACAAAAATCACGGTATCTTATTCCTGTATATCTTGGTAATTGTTTGTGCCAGTCTCACTAGCAATGCAGTAATATTCAAAAGGATTGCAGATATGTCTCTGCTAATAGATTTTTGCAACGATTACAGAACATACTTATGTTGACAAGTAACAAGCATTCTCTTCTCCATAATTCAAGTTTTGATGTCAATTTGTTTAAATCTCTCATTTCTAGGGGCACAAAAAAAAAAACTCTACATCACCAGCCACCATGCATTCGGCTTTTCGACACAATTGGACAGCATATCGTTCTCGCAAAAAATAGATCTACACAGTCTCTTAAACTTAATTTGTTCATCCATCACTAAAATATTGCACTGTGTATTAACTCAATTGTACATGTAGGTTGCCTTGCTTATCATCCGTGAAGAAATTTTCACTCTGGTCCAACTGCATGGAATACAAAAGAAATGTAGTGTGAACGACAACAAAACTAAAAGATAAGGCAGTTCGAATTTTTTTCCCCCCAAGTATTTAAAAACAAGCTTACAAATTTGGAGCTTGCGATACTAACACTGGCAGAATTTCAATGTGTCCGTACAAAATAAAACAATAAAGAAACGATGAAACCAAAACCTTGCAAGAATTTAAGCTTACCTTGGACTACATAATGAGAGAAAGCGAGTGGAAACCATCAAGTTCTCTTGCCAAGAAAAAAAGCTAATCACGATCTCACTTTCTGGCTTTATCTTCCCGGGTGTCTTGTATCAATTCTTTGACCTTGCCGACCGTGCTGTTGTGAACGATACATTACCACAGTCATAAATACCTCTACTAGCTTTCATCTAGGTGTGAGCAAAAGCCGATAGGCCAAAAACAACATATTTACGAAAGAAAATCACATGAAAACAAAATGGCCAACTTCAATCTTCAAGGTGTTCAACAAACTCGTACCCAATCTCTCGATTTATCAGGCAAAAATGCACGCCTTTCTAGTCCCCTCTCGTCAAAGAACCTTCCTGACGACTGAACACTCTTGGACAAAAACAGTACTTAGCAAGGGAGGTAGGAGAAAATTGTTTAATCGGGGTTCAATGAATAAATTAATTAGAATGGTGAATACAATCTTCTTGAAACCAAGTATTTTAAGGTTTTAATTCACAAATTCAATTATGGAAAACATTATTTGCCATCGGATAACCATACAAACATTGTAATTTCTCACCGTTTTGCCTACCTGTCAAGATGGCGTCAAAAACCGTGATACTTGAATAACTTGCAGCTAAATACAGGAATTGCACCGACCTCTGATTGGAAGTTAAAACTAGCATTAGTCACGCTGTTGAGCTCAAGAGACCTGTAAATCATGTAGGCATTTGTGGACGAAAGTTATGTTAGCATTAAAAATGTTTCCTTTTTTCAAATCAAATAAACACAAGCTTTGATATTATCGCTGGAAGATCAGTTTTCGGGTCAAATCTACATCGGTAAAGGGGTAAATTTATGGCGTGGATTTGCTACCTACATTTGTTATTCATCATCAAAAATACACAACTGAAATAGCAATAATATTTGTTTTCACCTCAGTATCAAGCAGTTTTCCTTCGTTGATTGACTCTCTGTGTAAAATGTTCTATTTCCAAATGTTTTGCTCATTTTCACTAATTGAGTTCCATACTTTGGGGCCCTTAAATCTTATGTTGAATATTCCATAATTTGTTCTTACTTTAGGTAAAGTATAGAACATATTCGAAGCACTTCTTGTATTATAGTTATGTCTTTTATTAGGAACTTCGACTTATGGCTTTGAAAGAGGCAGATTGAAGAAGGCTTGTAATTGACAAACTTGAAAATCCTAGACTCAACTTTTCAAGATGTGCCATCCGTGACAGAGCTCCTTAAAAGTTTGAAAATTTATTATATAATATACTGATATTTTTTATGATTACAAGTCATTAATTTCAATTTACTCTAGGGCTAGATCCTACAATACCACATGCACAGCTGCATTTATATAGTGTCACTGAAAAAATTATTAGTTCCAGATAATCATACACTTGCAGTGAAATATTTTTAATGTTGGCATGTTATTGAATCAGTTCTACTTTGCAGCCGGCATAGCATGATATTGCAGGTAATAAATCAGTGTAGCATTTGCTTTGTGCCAATACCCTTTCCTCTGTATGTACCTTTTGCCCACCACCCCCATCCCCTTCCAGAATCCAGTTTTTAGATTCAAACTTTCCTTGGAAAATAGTTTTGCTTAAATTGAAAACCCACAACACCTAGAATCCCCACTGACCTTGTGAGATGGTATAATATGAAGCACTTCGGAAATTAAATTAAACATTTTCATCTTGATACCACAATATAGATAACTTTGAAGTCTTGTAATAAATTACAACAAGTCGTTAATGTTAAGTCCGTTCCATGGTTCCAGAATTTTCCACAGAGATTACGCAAGACCATAATGCTTCAGTAGCTTGTTCACTTTTCAATCGCACGTGGAGAAGCGCTCATGTATAGTACACTTAAGTTGTGATTTCTCTCCCTTACGCCGTCCTTTCATCATGTGGTAAGTTGTTAGATAATTTGTTTCTAGTTTCACTTTGCAGGGTAATCTTTGTCATGTTTCGCAGGTTATTACAGCTTGCTACAAGGTTGTAATCCCAGATGAAAGGTCGACATTGTTTGTGTTGCTAGTGACTCTCTCTGTTGTCATTAAACTCGTTGTGTTCGGAAGGCTGTTTTGTGTTACATAGACGCTTTTCGCCACTATATATGTCCCGCCCGAACAATATCATCCACACATTAAATTAAAAACGAAATTAAATTAAGGACATTCCAGTCTTAGTCTTACATCTGTATTTCCTGCTCTTGTTATTTTGGGTGAATGTGCGAGGCTTCTGAACAGCGGTATCTCGTAATTACGTCATGTAATCGACACCAAAGTCGAGTATTCTTTCTGGTGTAATTCCTGTATTTAATTATTAAAAGCGTAAAGGCAGGAAAAGCAGCCGCTTGAACACAGGTTCAGAACGGGAGCTGTGGACAAAATAACTTCGCTAGTGAAGATCAGAGGCTTTGGACTGAAGGAAGAAAGATTATCGCATTCGGCTTTTTCTTTTTTCACCACTGGAAGTCGGCCAATCGAGCCGGTGCAATTCCTGTATTTAAGGCAATTCCTCTGAAATAAAAGTGACAATAGATTTTTGTTCAAACTTTGTCCACTGAATATTTGTCATGATAACTTCAATTTTGAAATAAAAAAGGGGGGTGCCCATGCTCATTAAGGAGCAGTGAGGCATCGAAAATGCCCCATTTTTGCATTA